CTTGTTGGCCTCAAGGGATAGTGTCGGGTCATACCACCCCTCATTGGGATCCGCCTGGCTATTTTTCAACACCATGGCAAGTGAAGGCATCTGGCTGTCCGGCTTTGCTTCAATCCATGCCCATTCCCGTAATGGATGTGACAAAAGCCGTCCTGATCGGAATTCAGTTTGGACCATAGGCCGCCAACCTTGCCTGACCAATCCAGCTAAACTGTCAGCGCATTCATTCCATGGGTGACCTTGATGTGCTTTGACATGCAAACCAGTGACTTCGCTTGCCCTCTGCTGCAAGATGGACATCATGATGCGAGCAGCATACTGTCTATCGGAAAAGGGATCCCCATGCTGAACAACCTTTTGCAATCCACATGCACCATGGCCCACAGCTAAAGCGTCATAGTGGAAGAAGATCTCCGCATGTTGAATTGTGGGGCATGCCAAGAGGTATTCCACCCCAGCAATAATGGCAGTCGCCTCAGCATCGGTTGCTGTCATACGCACTGGCCCAATTGAGTCATCAATCATCCCAGCAGCATAACCAATGCGAACAAAGTGTGAATGCGTTGGCAGCCTGCATTCACAGAGAACGACAAAAGCCCATGCCGCATTGTGACGCTTGCAAGATCCATCCGTGAAAATATGGAAGACATTGTGGCACTCAACATCCAATTTCACCTGTTGGCTGGCAATGGTTGCATATGGATGCATGTAGGGGATAAGAGTAAAATCACGATTCAGCCCCTTCCATCCTTCTGTGAAGAGGGCGTGCAAATCCGACTTCAAACTCTCCAGCATCACATCGTTGTTTTCTTGTACTGGATTCTGCAATTGTTGTTTACTCCATCCATCCAAGAGATCCGAGTTATCCTCTTGGCATGGTCGCAAGAGAGCACCCCCCTCCTGCAACAGCAACTCTGCCCTTGCATCTCTGGTGACATCATGTTCATTTGGCTTGCGAGAGGAACTGATGGGATCTAAGTTATCCCCATCACGTCCCTGCTGAAAAGGCAGTGAATGCTCTTTGCTCGACAGAACATCGCAGGAAATTTTGTCATCTTGGAAATTTTGCTGGTTCATTTCCTGACCACCATGAACTCTTTTATCCTCGACTTCATGTCTCTCATGCAGAGCTCTGCAAATTTCCACGAAACCGGTGTCCTGGAGCCCATTTGTGTGCAAGCATTCAAAACTCTGATGATTTACTTGCTGTTTTGGCTTTCCTTCAATTTTCAATCTCATTCGATGCTGCATCAAGCTTGTCATTTCCACATCTCCATGGTCCTCGCTTTCATCATTGCTCAACAGCAAGGTCAAGGCCTGATGTTGCTGCCATACCACGAATCGGGCTGTCACCAAATCACCTCCCTGCCAGTCTCTTTGAACCTCCCTTGCTTTCTGTCCACCTACAAAAACATGCGGATGGATGTGATGCCTTCTTGCCACACGGAACCAGAAAGGGGGCTCCAATGCAATTCCTGGCATAGAATGCGAAACCACTTGATTCGGCATGTTAACAGCCCAATATTCATTCACCATACCCTCCTGACCTGGCAACTTCTCAGCCACACTGATTTGCTGATGGATTAGGACTGGACGTCCATCCCCATGACCATTGCTAATGACAAAATGGAAACATGGTCGCACCATCTCTCGAACATCATTCGTCATATCTGGGACAAAACCAATTTGCACCTGTTGGGCGTCAAAAGGCCAAAGCTGTATCATGAAATCAATCCATTCAAGATTCTTCAACTGATCAACCCTGCGCACAATTTCACGCTGACCAAGTGGCCTATTGGCCGGCGAAATCCCATGAACAATAAGCACAATTTCTTCACATTCAGGCTGGAGGTTCTGCAAGCTCCTGCACTGGAGGAAGAAGGCCTCCACTTGATTGACCCTTTGGCTGGCTCTTTGCACCTCCTTGCAAATGGGTCCAATCCAAACAAGGCATAACATACCCGGATCGAAATCATAGTGATGTCCATCCTCCAAACTGACCTGTCCCAGCCTCACTCCACATTCTCGTGCTGTCAACGGTGGGCAATGCTGTTGCAGCCCGAGCTGGGAGAAGATTTCAGTCATTGTGGATTCAACATACAGCCTTGATGCATAATATCGATTCCTGACTGACACCTCTGAAACCGCTCTTTCATGCACCAAAACGGGTTGCAACCGCTCATCATGTGTGCCTTCAATGTCAATCTCAACAATAAGGACTATAGACTTCTCTCCAGCTACGTCCATCGGCTGTGGGCTGACATTGTATGCAATGAGGTCGCCTTGTTGGGCATGGTCATCCCATAAGTCCAACACCACACGCATGAGCTCATTCGGCGCTAGGGGATCAAAACTAGCATCTCTTCTGCCTAGTTCCACGAGCCCTAACCCGAAAGTCACCACCGTCCACCTGTCATTCATCTGACTTGCTGGCAGGTCGACTCGAATAAGCTCAATGTGATCTTGGATGTGATTGAGGTGATGTGGCGCAAACACAATTGAAATGGCCGGTTCCTCTTCCATCAAAGCATGTGCACCATGCTGGTCTTCATTCTGCCAGTCCTCCGGTATCAACTGGTCAATCTGCATCATGATGGGTCCCCCAGACATCAAGGAAAACTCCTCTGGGTCATCTGTCCATTCATCTTCTGGCAGGTCCGTGGAAGCTTCAGAACTGGCCGAGGAGTCATCTTCTACAACATTCACTTCATTTTGATCCTCCTCCCCATGAACGACGCGCAGGCCACCTTTGAAAAAAGTGCCAATTTGTGCAAAGACAGCCTCTGAGTCAGTCCTAGTGATGGCCTCATTTTCTTGAAAGAATTGAAGAAAACAGGCATTTTGAACACGCCTACATGCATCTTCATGCTGCAAAACCTCGAAAATGGTTCTCACTGACTGGCCGTTTTCAAACAGTGCAGCTCTGGTTCTGGTGAACACTGGCATCGACTCACAGTGAAACAAGGCTGCAATCTGACCAGGCATGATTCCCTGAATGACAATCCAAGCACCGATCACACTCGGCAAACGTCTTTGATCAGTCTGCACATAAATGAGTTGGATAGGTCCGCCATCATCAAGGTCAAACCAAGTCTGCTTGCATGCTCTTCTGAAAGTTTCAAAATCTGTTTCACGGTCGACCCTAACAGCTCTTGGTCTCACACAAAGGTCGATTCTCTGGGCTGCCAAAAACCAAGTATCAACGAACACTGGACTTCTGCTTGAATCATACAGACTTGAGGCCTTAGTGTTCATATTGTGAAAAGCTGCGATTTGCACCACATCCTCTTGATGCCTAGCAATTGACATGCCTCCTTTCGTTTCAGAACATTCATCATGCTGACAAAGCCTAGGAGTTTGCTTGACGTACGAGTCTAAAGCCGCTTCACATTCTTTGAGCGATGCAATCTGGCCATGCAAATGCCAGAGATTTCTCAAACAATCTTCTCGATCACATTCATTGATCCTGAAACTGCAAGACTCATGGTAGTCAAAACACACAACCTCACACACTTCATCAAAACGTAATTTCGTCTGTCTCTCCACTCTCTGATCGACTTGCTCAACCAGTCCCTTCCGCAGCTTACTATCGTCAACACCATCAAATGAGGCTCCATTCAAAAAATTTGAAGGCTCAAACTCATTACCAAACGATACTGCAGAAAGAGGAGGGAGATTGAAAGCTTCATCCACACTGTTGTGGCGATCAGTCTTTCTTGTTTCATTGCAGAGTGAGGAGCCTACTATTTCACCAGCGGGTTCAAACTCAAACTCCACATCTATCAAGGTGGTATCGCGGCTTGTGCGACCACAGAGATCCATGTTATCCTCTGTGCGTCTCATCATACCTTTGTGCAAGCCCTGGCACCACGTATAGGGAAAGTGAAGCCAATCTGTTGCATCCTTCCAAGAAACTTGTTGCAAATGCCTACCCTCATTCGCATCTTCATCTTGGTGAGCCTGTGTCTGCTCTGAAGCCACAGGACGAGCTTCACATTCGATGCTGGAACCCACAAGACCACAGAGATCCAGGTTAGCCTCTGTGCGCCTGATGGTCCGATTGTTGCCACATGAAAGGACATCCCTTGCTTGGAAATCTTCACCTGGGTCTATCAGAGGGCTCTCATACGAAGACCGATGGCTGTCCCTGGGAAGAACTGTGTTACCCTCTTTCTTGCTTCCCACATGCAAAAAGGGCTTCCCAAGATGTCGCATCATGTCAACTTCACTTTTTGAAATTTCCTTGCCACCCACCGCGGGCAACGGGCTTTTCGCAACTTTTCCAACATCTGTTGCTCCAAGACAAGCACTATCACCAACAGAAAGCAAAGAGGCTTCATCCTCCTCGTTTGTTTCCGGAACATTGGTGACACTTATTTCACCGCCCTGGCAGCCATGAAGATCCAAGTTACCCTCCATGCACTCCCGCAAATGGGCCATTCCATCAATTTCACTGTCTGATCTTGCATTTTCCGAATGCAACATCCATGAAAAATGATTTTGCTTCTCATCATCCCAAAATTGACGCAAGGATTCCACTTCAGACAAAAGGGGGACTGACAAGCATGTGTGATTTGAGACAACCCTGTCCGACTGGGCCAACAAGCCACTCACTTGTCTGTCATCCCCTGTTTCATCCGATCGAGTGCATCCACATTCATCTTCATAGTGATTCTGTGCTGAAGGGCCTACTGAGAATAACCCGCAATTCCCAGATGCAGCACTGTCCACACTGCAACTTTCAACTTTGAGAAAAGAAGAATCACCACAACGAAGATGAGGCAAGCCATCATATGATTGAACATGGACACGGAACTTTTTGAGCCCATGCTGTGAAACACACTGGGTCAATTCATGACACGAATTGGAACCATCCTCCTTGTAAGTGGCTCTCTGCCATAGACACCATGTCGGCGCTGGAGAATCATCAAAATTGTTGAACAGATGACACTGATCTGCATTACCATGGAAAGAGAGCCATGGAAGAACAATTGAAGAACTCACTGATCCCCTTTCTGCCTGACCTCTTTGTCCTTGTCTTTCTGATGTTTCTCTTGCTTTGCTTTCAAGTGTGTCTTGGCCACTTGCTGCGGAGATGCTGCCGATCTGAATGGTCTCAGTGCAGAAGGGAGATCCTTCTTGACCTCTTCCTCCCCCTGATCCATGTTTGCTGCAACCAGTTCTTCGTCCTCCAACTGGTCTTCCATTTGATCTCCTGTAAGATCGACTGTCCCATTTTCCGCCAGCGCATTTTGCAGTTTCATCATCTGATCTGCAACTCCTGGCATCTCGTCCATGTCGAAATCCCCAGTGTGTTGATCCACCAGACTCCTGGAGGCAATTGAGACCTCCTCCTTCAAGGTCTGTAGCTCCTTCAGCTTCTGGTTGTATGTTTCCATCATGTCGGCACGACATTTCTGATACAGGAGACCATGTTCTTTGACACGCTCCATTGTACGATTCATGAAAGCATTCCACTCTGCATCGAGCTCTCGAATGCGTTTGGCTGCCCCAGCCACTTGCCCTTTCACCTTGTGGAACTTGTTGATGTGTCCATGTGTGAGGGCTTTGGCCGTGGCCATTCTTTGTTCTTTGATGGTCAAATCGGCTAACTGCTGTGCCATTTCCTCGGGCAAAGCAATATTCATGCCCTTCAACCCACGTAGGTGTTCTAGCACCTTGATCTCTTCCGTAGTCAAAGCATCGCCTCCTTCCCTTTCCATTAAGGGCATGGGCGGAGGTGGTAAGACTGGCTGTGGCGGCAGCTGTAAGTCTTTGTCCTTGGCATCCGAAGTCACATCGGTTCTGTACGATGTTGCTCTGGCAGGCGTGGACTGTACCCAGGGGACTTTCTCCTGGAACACTTGCCATGTGGCCTGCTGTTCTTGTTCTCCGGTTGCTTCTGCTTTGTTGTACTTCCGAGATTTGCTGCGACTTCGCACCTTGCGCTTGGGCGGTTCCCATACTTCGCTCCAATGCGCTCGGCACTGTCGGCATTTGTCTAAATGTTGACTGTTTTGGACTTCGCAACTTCGGCAAAACCATGTCATGGTGACCTTTTGACGGACTCGTAGAGGTACTTCTAAAGGATTCCAGGTATGATGGCACTGTAGTGCCGGCAACAAACTGCGAATCCTCCTCCTCCGCCTTTTGCCTAATGGCTGTGTAGAGATCCTGGCAAACCAAGTCCGCACCGCTTGTCTCTTCCGCCTTTTCAAACGGTGCCACCCAGGTTCCACACGCCTCTGCAACGTCACCAGTGTGAGCCAGCTGCGAAATCAACACGAAAACAGCGAGGCGGCACAAAAACATGCGCAACGCCCCTAAGGCTAGCCTTGACACGCGTGCAGGGGGGCCACTCCTACACACATGAAGAGCCCAAACCTTACATATAGTATATATATATATAATTATAGTATATATATATATATCATCTAAGATCAAAGAAGCCCTGAAATATTTTCCGAAATCCGCCCTGAATAGCAATCATAACGCCAGCGGTTGCCATTTTTAGGAAGAAATGCAGGTCGATGAGCATCCCCATCGATGTCACAGGTGACTGGCCCCGATGCCAACGCGTACAACACGACGTCTCTGGTAAACGTTGACAGTTTGCGAACTGGAAAATGGTGATGTATAGTGGATTTACCCATCAAAAATATTCAAAAATGGTGATTTTCCATAGTTACGTTAGTTTGCCAGAGGGTAATTTGCGGCAACAACCCTTCGCAGACTTTGTGGGGGTCTGGGCTCCTGGGAAACGTCCGGTAATATCGCAAGTTGTACTTTTTCACAAAGGCACACAAACACACGCACACGCGCAAACACACACACAGATGCTAACTGCGCTGCTTGTCAGTTTTTGTCACTTTTGTTTTTTCTGCTAGAAGCCGAGTCGAAAGTCAGTTCTTCAGAAATTCAACGTGGCACTTTCCACACACTGTGGCACACCACTTAAACTGTGGCACCAACACACGGCGTCTCCTCATCCAAGTGCTTTCGTTGATTGTCGCACTGATTGTTGAACATCTCAGGCTCCGAGCATTCGCCCCTGGGCAAAGCTTTGATGCTCTGATTCTCGGAAAGTAGAAATGCTACGTTCATCAAGCTTTGATCAGTACATTCTTGAAGATATGTCATTCTTTTGTGAATAATTTATCTATTGTACATCTTATAATTATATATAAATAATTATATTATTAAAAATTATATATTTCATTATTAGATTGAAGATTTGAATCAATTAATTATTCCAATGGATTGTTAGATTATGATCCACATTTATAATCATTATTTATAACATCATTGGAGATCCATTCTTATTAGATTCCTTAATGGATCTCCACTTTCCGACATCACCGGCTCGAGGTCCCGAGGTCTCCCGGAGGTCTCCCGGAGGTCTTCCGGAGGACCCGACCTGTGACAATCGCTGCAATAGGAGGCCACGGCCACAAACGAACTGTCCTGAGCGGACGACAACTGGCAAGGCTTGAGTTCTTTTTTAATATATGTATATATATATATATATATATGTGTGTGTGTGTGATGTGTATATTTTTTTAGATATTTATATAATATATTTATATATTTCTATAATATTTCTATATAGTCTATAGTGTTATAGAGTGTTTCTGTAGTGTATGTGTAAATATGGGTGAATTATTGAATTATGGTTACAAGGCTCAGACTGACTAGCCGTTGACTCTTACAACGTATTCACATTGTTCATCTGTTGGTTGAAACAACAGCATCCTGATCTATCAAAATTGCACATGACATGCTTGTCACTTAGACTCATTCTATCAACTGCTTATTCAACGGTGCGTTCACACGTTGACGCAATGATTCACTCATAACCACTCAAACCAAGCAAACATTCAATCAGTCAATCAACAAAACCAATGAGCAAATCAATCACTCAGATTCCTGATTCTATCTCCAACTCAATCTCTCGTTCTAAGACCTTCCTCTCCAGTCTTCTGTAGGAATCTTTAACGTTACTTACAACTTGAGTCTGCGGCAGCTGGCCGAGCAATGATGCGTCGTTGCAACTCTGCCATTGCAACAACATCGAACTTCAAACCAACGCAGCATTTAGCCCGCTGCCCCATTGCACTGGTGTATGATTCGTATGAAAATGATTTTTCATAATGATGACCACTGCTGTCCACAGAAACTGTTCATCTGAGGCACATAGATCTTCACTGGAGTCATCGAAACCTTTGTGTCCCTTGGCCGTGGATGTCAGGTGGAAATTAGAAAGGGACTGGGTAGGTGCTGGCTGGTCAATGATTGTAATATATTGTAATACTTCAACTAATTCAACTGTGCAGGATTCAACAAAAAGCAACGCAACTCTCCGGATCACGACATGCATCGGCCCAGGATATATTTTCACGAAAACCAAGTTGCGCAACGTCTGTCATTATGTTGGAGTTCAAGAAGTCTGGCGCACTCACCTGCGCAGCAACCAACTGGGAATCCCAGGAACTGACCAGAGATGGTCGGTTTGATTTCCTGGCGAACAGACTTTGCCTGACCACAAAACTAAGAGAAAGAAATCCAACTATAACTGTGTTGCAGGAAAAACAAGACAGTAAATTCATAGGGGAACCTTGCAGAATTCACATATTATATGTATGTATATTATGTGTATACATACATGTGTGTATATATATATATATGTATATATATACCTCTCTCAAATTCATAGGCACCACAAATGAACTAGAGGCAAGCAAATCAACATGTCTACTGTATAATACTGGTAGATGAATGATATGATTATGTTCCAGTCAGATGAACATCTGGACATCAACTCATATGATTGATCGTCAATTTGTACTATGTGCTGCTATTGTTTGTTGTTCTGGGAATAATTTTTTGACACGAGTATCTGCCTTCAGCGCAGAAATCGACACATCTTTCATCCTCTTGCAGTGCATCCATCTGTCCATACCTCTATCCCTCCGTCCATACATTTTAAGCATCTGTCCATTCCTTCCTTCAGCGGAAGTTTAGGTGAGAAACCCAGCTACTGGCAAATGTCAGCATTCAGGTGCGCCCTACAATTCAACCTTTCATTTTCCAGATCGCGCCCATCAACCTAATTTGCTACTCAATCTAACGTTCAACTGCTGAGAGTTCTTGGGCAGAGTGGTCGGGTGAAAGGTAGGAAGATGTAGGAAGTCTGCGGTTCACATCCTGCTTTGGTCTTGCGGCTCTTGGGGTCGCAAATGTAGGCTCGGTGTGTCCGCTGTTGCGGGGGTCCGAAAAAACCGTGGCAAGAGATGGGCACGACTGGTACCATCTGCTACCGCTGTGGTTGTTCCAAGGCGCACCGGCACTGCTTCCTGGTTCTGCGAAAGCGAAGGCTGGCTAAATGCTTTGCAATGCCCTGCAATTTTGCAATCACTGGGCATGTCTAAATCATGAATTCATTCAGTCATTCGATCTTTAAGCCAATCATTCAGGCCTGCCGTCAGTTGAGAATTCAGCCATTAAATCATTCACTTCTTCTTTCTTCCCCAAAAGTCATGCATTCATCCCTTCACTTATTCAGTCGGTCACTGTCTCATTCAGTCATTCAGTTGTCTCAACAGCCCTTCCTATCGGCACTTCACGGACTTTCCTCCTTCAGGCAATTTGCTGTTTCTGCTTTTTCCCAACTTTCTCCAATATGCTTGTGGGTCAAAAGTCTGCACGAGTACCGCCAGCTGAGCATTCTTAAAATGAACACAGGTCTCGGTAGCAGATGATGCTTCGGACCCGTACCTAGAGTCAAGAGAGAACCTGTTCCCCTTGTGGTTGTCTGGTTCTTGCCTTGCCGCATAAGTTGTCGTATGGTGGACCTGCTCCAGTTTCGCCACCTGAAAGGACGAAACTGGGGACGGTAAGACATGTCCACTGGAGCCACGTCAAAGAGAAGTGGTGATGTGAAAGTGGTCAGATACTCAATGGATTGGTTTAAGGGAAATTTTACAGGAAAGCCCCATATTTAATGGGAAAATCGATGGTTTCCTGTAGATTTTCCCTTAAACCAATCCATTGAGATACATTTGACAATGCATCAGACTCCTCTCGTGTCATTCCACTGGCAACTCTGCACACTCTTTGTAAAGCTTAGAAAAATAACTCGCTGCAGTCACAGGTGCGGCAGACTGCAGCGAAAAGTTGTTGACTTTTGTCCAAAACTAGGCCCCAGACTGATATGCCTTAAGTACCTCCTGACACCTGGGGCCGAGGCGCTGTGCAAGACTGTGGTGGCCTTCACTCTTTTCCAATACATAAAGACTCACACGCACAATGATAATGGGTTGAGTGCCGTGTGCATATTGCGGCTTGGACGCAATCACGACATGGTCCAGCGCCGCACGCAATATATAATCACTAGCTTCAGGATCACGATGTATCAAGTATCCATTTCCATTGCATGGTGCATCTACACTTTGACTTTGGCAGAATTCCGCCGTAAGCTTCAAGCCCAACATGGTGAAGGGCACTGGCAGCATCTGCCCATTGCCCACGAAGAATGAAGCCACCAAAACCTCGAGACATCATCCCGCATCATCCCAGAAATACGCGACGCAAATGCAGAAAAGCTGCTCCCTGAGGTTCCGCACTTCCGGATAAAAGATCACCAATGACTCATCCTAGGGGCAATGATGGCAATGGGGCCATGTGCATATCAATCATATCAGGCTCACATGTTGCACTCAATACAGAGCAATTTTTACATGGAAGATGACACCCCACCGACCAATCACCACTGGACCCAAGTGCATCTTGAGGTTTCCCCCGTGTTTTTCATGTGATTTCAGTCTTACCTATACATATCTGACTTTAAGTCATGGGTGTGTGCTTTTTCTCATCTCATGGGTGTGTGTTTTTTCTCATCTCATGGGGGTTTAATGTCTGTTCATTGTTTTTTTACCATGGGTTTATATGGGTTTCACAGGTTTCTGTTGTTCATCTTCCTGCGAAACCAGCACTGTACCAGAGAGCGATGTTCGCCATGAGGCGAAGAATCTTCGAACACTTTTAAGGTAAACCTTACCTGCTGACACTCAAGGCAAACCATTCAAAAACTCCATGACTGGGAGCTTCGGGCAAGACAAATGTGGGGAGAATAGGCTGGAAAACAAGGTCTAGTCTGGATGAAGGAGTGAAATTGCTTAAGAATGTCCGAGACCATCTAAGAACAGTGAAGGTGTTCCTTGCAGCTGCGGTGTTTGCAACAGTTGAAACTTGCGGGAATGACTGGCAGACTACAGAATGACGTCGAGTTACCCTAAACCGGCTAGGGGAAGGAAAAAAAAACTGATCCCAATTATTCAATCTGTAGCATATCCCAGCTGCCTGGTGTACCTTTGGATTCGCAGTCAATTGATATCCGCGACATTCCGCTAGTGCTCTTGTTGACACGACTTCTGGAAGATTCATCCCCAATTTTTAAGGAGTGTACAGCCTGGACTGGCTTATAGCAATCATCATATTGTGAAGCATCCAAAATCTGGATTCTTCATCACTTACTTTTTGGGGCCCTCTTTGGCAGCTGAACAATAGTCGGGCAACGTGTGAATAGTATCGAATAATGCATTAGAATCTTTTTGATACTGATAAAATCTGATACCCTCTGGTAATTTAACGTAGCTATTGGAAATGGCCATTTATAGTGAGTTTTCCCATTAAACATGGTGATTTTCCATAGCATGTTAGTTTACCAGAGGGTAAATATGAAGTATACATGGTATGCGCCCTGTATTTGTCCTGACTGTTTGCCACACGGCACAGCTGCGCACCACCACCCACGTCCTGCGCGTCTGTTTGAACGAGGGGATCTCAGTTTTCTGGGCTCTGTATGTCTACGTTATTTGGGAGTGGCAAGTGGTTGTTTCATTCCGGCAGTGATGATTCCGGAAAATGAGAATCGGTTCATTGGTGCCAGAGGGTTCAGGCAGAAGCATGATGTCATGTGCCCATTTTAGTGCTAGTGAGATCACCATAGATCACTTATATCCATAATTATTTTGTGTATGTCATTTTTTCCTTGGTTCACCCCGCTTCTTGTGGCGCAGACATGCTCTTAGCTCCTGAGTCTTCAAACGCCACACAGAGTATTGATGTTTCTGTCATATCTGACAGTATTTGGCTATGTATATTATATATGTATATATTTTATATTAATATATATATATTGTATTATTATATATATATATATTGTATTATATCTATATATGGTTATATTATATTATAGTATATTGTATTATATTATATTATATCATATTATATTGTATTGTATTATATATATATATAGTTATATTATATTATATTATATTCTATTATATTATATTCTATTATATTATATTATATATTCTATTATATTATATATTATATATTATATATTCTATTATATTATATTATATTATATTATATATTGTATTATATATTATATATTATATTATATATTATATTATATATTATATTATATATTATATTATATATTTTATTATATTATATATTATATAATATATTATATTATATATTATATTATATTATACTATATTATATATTATATATTATATTAAATTATATATTGTATTATATGATATTATATATATATATTATATTAAATATATCATATATTATAGATTATATATTATACATTATATATTATATATTATATATTTTGTATATATATATATTATTATATATATATTATATTATATAGTATATATATTATTTAGTATATAGTATATAGTATATATTATATATAATATATGTATAATATATAATATATATTATATATAATATATAATATATAATATATATAATAGATATAATATTATATATATATATATAAGATATATATATATATAAGATATATATATATATGTGTGTGTTTTCTCACGCAAATAACTGTTGGAGCGTCCATTTGCATTGTATTTTTTCAATGTGCTCTGGGAATTACACTTCTTTAGCAGAGCCTTGCGAGACCCGTCTGATCACCAAAGGATCCCACCCGACCGGTCCATGCCAGCAATGTCGGTGAGGGCCTGTGCCAATGTCGGTGTGTTACCATTGCGGACAGTGGCTTGCGCAAATCAAACTCTGCCATTGGAAGTTCCGAAGCAACGCAAAGCCAGGTGCTGGTTTTTTCTGCCACGCTCTGCCTGCTTTGGTGTACCCCCAGCCATAAAATCCTTCAAGCCGCAGGTGCCAGCCTCAACAACCGGGTCATCTTCACAAGCTTCCAAGTGTCCTTTTAATCTACTTACACGGACAGTGCGGACAGTGAACCGTTTGATAGGATCCTTCAAATCTGTAATGGTATAGACCACACTGAGTTCGACAGTGGCCAGGGCCCACACCTGTAACTTTGCGGTGTTGCATAGTTTGGGTTGGATCATGGACTTGCCAGCCTGCCACCAATAAAAGCAAACTGAGCAATGTGAAGAATCGGAGCTTCATTGGTCGAAAACATCTCCTAGGCCGAAAAAAACATTGCTGGAAGTTGCATGAGTTAGTAGGACCTCTATAGGACTCTCGGATCTACAATGCTTCACGAAGTTTTGGTCCAATTCCCTGCATTGTAGGCTGTACATCGCAGCCAAACACCACCAAGGACTCGGGTGCCTCGTGCTGGCCAAGCACCTTTTCGAGCCAGGCTTCATTCACTGCTCCCGGAGTTGTGCCGACCAAGTAAGGTCCATCCTTAGATGGGATGGCACATGGAATAATGAGCAACACATACCATAGATATCCACTGGTTGGTGGTGCAATAACCATCTGAAATGGTGGTGCAATAACCATCTCGAAAAATGATGGAGTTCGTCAATGGGAAGGATGACATCCCATATATGAAATGGAAAATATAATTCATGTTTGAAACCACCAAGCAGATATCCATAGATAACAACATCGAACCTATGCCGTGTGAACCCTGTGGATCCCGCATTCTGTGAACCTCAGGGATGACCCAAAAATCTCGCTGAGAGTTGCGCTGTGTTCCCCAATTCTTGAGAGAGGGTTGCTAGGAACGCCAAGATCGAGTGCAACATATCTGGAGAAAGACCTGGCCAATGGGGAACCCCTGGGGAGCCCCATGGACCCAAAAAAAACATTCTCTTGACATTTGGAATGTTTCAACTCTATGGTCAATAGGCTTTGGCCCTTTGGTGTTTTTCTTCAGCACTTGTCAGGAACAAATGCCAGTCCTAAGGATGGCTAACGAGCATAGTTTCACACCCTTTTTATCCTTTTCCAACTGCCAAGCCCAGCCAGCCTTGCCCAGGGGCACCCAAGAAATGCTTTTGCTTAGTGGGTCTATTTTGCAGATGATATCGCCGGTGATTCCTGGTAGCTGGCACCTGCTTCCAAATCAGACTCCTTGTTGCAACGCTGAATAGCGGCATCCAGACCTGCTCGGCGTTGAGATTTCAAGTAGCTCAGCGGCTGAGCATGTGGCACAATGGTGCGTTTGCAGAGTAGCAACAACAAAAAAACACCAATCTATTGATACCTTCTGGCTGTGTGGAAGGGAATAGGCTGCAAAACAATGTGGCAGTAACACTCATCAACCAGAGATGTAAGCCCTGAACAGCTCAAGCTTGGATATGAGTATGCAATTGAGCGCAGCATGAAAAATCATGTCATTCGACTGCTGTGTCCTTCCTCGGATCTTGAGAGCATTGTGGACTGCTTCACATTCCTACCCTCTGGTAATTTAACGGTTTGCTGTTGAAAATGGCCATAGAAATAGTGAGTTTTCCCATGAAAAATGGTGATTTTCCATAGTATTTTGTATGTTTACCAGAGGGTGCGCGTACCTGCAGAAATCCCGTGGCCGCGCGCCTGTGCGTACACCCTGCAAATGATTGTCCATGAGGAGGTTAATCACGATGAATGCCAGCTGCCTTTGGTTCATGATCACTGCCTCCGGCAACGGCCCATATCATTTGATTCATTGCTGACAGGTGTTAGCGAACATCAGATCATATGGCCTGCCGCCTCTTCAAGATGGGACGCTTCAAGTTCTGTTCAAGATATGAACTTCGGGGCGGTTGCGTTTCCTTACCTTGATCATCTGCAATGATTGGCTATGTGGCGAGGTTCTGTGGGCGTTTTTCACATGGCGATATTCACCATGAATTGGCTGGCTACTGAATGAATCATACGGTACCTACATTTAAATATACGGATATTTAAACAACGCAATAGGTATTTTATACTACCTCCGGGCAAGTTTTCTCTGGCCCGGCCAACCATCTTAAATATACGGAAGTTAACTATTTAAATATACGGAAAAAGGAGCTGCCGGCGACCGCTCCACCAGTTCAGTACCTGGTGCAAATGGCAAATGTCCACCGTTTCGATCTCCTCGCTTTCGTTCTTGATCAATGAAAACATCCTTGGCAAATGCTTTCGCATTAGTCAATAGTCTGTCTTTTATGGTATTGAGGTTGTACTGTACTATACGATTTTGGCTTTGGTGGAAATTCCTTTCATTAAAAATTCGAACTGGGTGGAAGCGCGTGGCTAGAAATTGCTTGCTTCTCTCTTTCTTGCAAGAAATGTCCTAGGTGGAGTTCCTGGGTGGAAGTTCCTTGCTTCTTGGGCGGAATTCCTAGATGAATTCCATAGGTGGAATTTCACGGGTGGTGGTGGAAGTTGCTTGTTTCCCTCTTTCTGCGGAAAAAAAACGGTGGGATTTTTTGGGGTGGGGTATCCTGGCTGGCAATTCCTTGCTTTCCTGTGTCTTGGGGAAAAATTGCCTAGGTGGACTTACCTGGCTAGAAATTGCTGGAATCTTCCTTCCTCAGCAAGACTTACCTGGGTGGAGTTTTGTGAGTGGAAATTCCTTAGTTCCCCGCTGTCTGGTTGCAAGTTACTTTGGTGGAGTTTCCTGGGTTGAAGTTCCTTGCAGTGCTCCTGCTCCTTCTTGGAGTCCTTTTTTGGAATTTAAGGGATTTGCTGGCTTCCCTCTTTCTGCAGAGAAATTTCCTAGGTGGAGTTTCTTGGGTGGGGTATCCTGGCTGGCAATTCCTTGCTTTCCTTTGTCTTGGGGAAAAATAGCCTAGGTGGACTTACCTGGCTAGAAAGTGCTGGAGTCTTTCTTCCTCAGCAAGACTTACCTGGGTGGAGTTTTGTGAGTGGAAATTCTTTAGTTTCCCGTTGTCTGGTTGCAAGTTACTTAGGTGGAGTTTCCTGGGTGGAAGTTCCTTGCAGTGCTCCTGCTCCTTCTTGGAATTCCCTTTTGTGGAATTTAAGGGAGTTGCTGGCTTGCCTCTTTCTGCAGAGAAATTTCCTAGGTGGAGTTTCTGGGTGGGGTATCCTGGCTGGCAATTCTTTCCTTTTCTTTGTGTTGGGGAAAAATTGCCTAGGTGGACTTACCTGGCTAGAAATTGCTGGAATCTTCCTTCCTCAGCAAGACTTTCCTGGGTGGAGTTTTGTGAGTGGAAATTCCTTAGTTCCCCGCTGTCTGGTTGCAAGTTACTTAGGTGGAGTTTCCTGGGTTGAAGTTCCTTGCAGTGCTCCTGCTCCTTCTTGGAATTCCTTTTTTTGGAATTTAAGGGATTTGCTGGCTTCCCTCTTTCTGCAGAGAAATTTCCTAGGTGGAGTTTCTTGGGTGGGGTATCCTGGCTGGCAATTCCTTGCTTTCCTTTGTCTTGGGAAAAATTGCCTAGGTGGACTTACCTGGCTAGAAATTGCTGGAATCTTTCTTCCTCAGCAAGACTTACCTGGGTGGAGTTTTGTGAGTGGAAATTCCTTAGTTAGTTTCCCGTTGTCTGGTTGCAAGTTAATTAGGTGGAGTTTCCTGGGTAAAAGTTCCTTGCAGTGCTCCTGCTCCTTCTTGGAATTCCCTTTTTGGAATTTAAGGGGTTTGCTGGCTTGCCTCTTTCTGCAGGGAAATTTCCTAGGTGGTGTTTCTGGGTGGGGTATCCTGGCTGGCAATTCTTTCCTTTTCTTTGTGTGGGGGAAAAATTGCCTAGGTGGACTTACCTGGCTAGAAATTGCTGGAATCTTTCTTCCTCAGCAAGACTTACCTGGGTGGAGTTTTGTGAGTGGAAATTCCTTAGTTAGTTTCCCGTTGTCTGGTTGCAAGTTAATTAGGTGGAGTTTCCTGGGTAAAAGTTCCTTGCAGTGCTCCTGCTCCTTCTTGGAATTCCCTTTTTGGAATTTAAGGGGTTTGCTGGCTTGCCTCTTTCTGCAGGGAAATTTCCTAGGTGGTGTTTCTTGGGTGGGGTATCCTGGCTGGCAATTCCTTGCTTTCCTTTGTCTTGGGGAAAAATAGCCTAGGTGGACTTACCTGGCTAGAAAGTGCTGGAATTTTTCTTCCACAGCAAGACTTCCTGGGTGGAGTTTTGTGAGTGGAAATTCCTTAGTTTCCCGTTGTCTGGTTGCAAGTTAATTAGGTGGAGTTTCCTGGGTGGAAGTTCCTTGCAGTGCTCCTGCTCCTTCTTGGAATTCCCTTTTTGATTCCTTTTTGGAATTTAAGGGATTTGCTGGCCTCCCTCTTTCTGCAGAGAAATTTCCTAGGTGGAGTTTCTGGGTGGGGTATCCTGGCTGGCAATTCTTTCCTTTTCTTTGTGTTGGGGAAAAATTGCCTAGGTGGACTTACCTGGCTAGAAAGTGCTGGAATCTTTCTTCCTCAGCAAGACTTTCCTGGGTGGGGTTTTGTGAGTGGAAATTCCTCAGTTTCCCGTTGTCTGGTTGCAAGTTTCTTAGGTGGAGTTTCCTGGGTGGAAGTTCCTTGCAGTGCTCCTGCTGCTTCTTGGAATTCCCTTTTTGATTCCTTTTTGGAATTTAAGGGATTTGCTGGCCTCCCTCTTTCTGCAGAGAAATTTCCTAGGTGGAGTTTCTGGGTGGGGTATCCTGGCTGGCAATTCTTTCCTTTTCTTTGTGTGGGGGAAAAATTGCCTAGGTGGACTTACCTGGCTAGAAAGTGCTGGAATCTTTCTTCCTCAGCAAGACTTCCTGGGTGGAGTTTTGTGAGTGGAAATTCCTTAGTTTCCCGTTGTGTGGTTGCAAGTTAATTAGGTGGAGTTTCCTGGGTGGAAGTTCCTTGCAGTGCTCCTGCTCCTTCTTGGAATTCCCTTTTTGGAATTTAAGGGATTTGCTGGCTTGCCTCTTTCTGCAGAGAAATTTCCTAGGTGGGGTTTCTTGGGTGGGGTATCCTGGCTGGCAATTCCTTGCTTTCCTTTGTCTCGGGGAAAAATTGCCTAGGTGGACTTACCTGGCTAGAAATTGCTGGAGTCTTTCTTCCTCAGCAAGACTTTCCTGGGTGGACTTTTGTGAGTGGAAATTCCTTAGTTTCCCGTTGTCTGGCTGCAAGTTAATTAGGTGGAGTTTCCTGGGTAGAAGTTCCTTGCGGTGCTCCTGCTGCTTCTTGGAATTCCCTTTTTGATTCCTTTTTGGAATTTAAGGGATTTGCTGGCCTCCCTCTTTCTCCAGAGAAATTTCCTAGGTGGAGTTTCTTGGGTGGGGTATCCTGGCTGGCAATTCCTTGCTTTCCTTTGTCTTGGGGAAAAATAGCCTAGGTGGACTTACCTGGCTAGAAAGTGCTGGAGTTTTTCTTCCTCAGCAAGACTTACCTGGGTGGAGTTTTGTGAGTGGAAATTCCTTAGTTTCCCGTTGTGTGGTTGCAAGTTACTTAGGTGGAGTTTCCTGGGTGGAAGTTCCTTGCAGTGCTCCTGCTCCTTCTTGGAATTCCCTGTTTGGAATTTAAGGGATTTGCTGGCTTGCCTCTTTCTGCAGAGAAATTTCCTAGGTGGAGTTTCTGGGTGGGGCATCCTGGCTGGCAATTCTTTCCTTTTCTTTGTGTTGGGAACCAAATCCTAGGTGGAGTTTCCTGGGTGGGACATCCTGGCAGCTTGGCGTCGTTCTGGTGAAAATTTTCCGATAGGTGGAATTACCTGGCTAGAAATTGCTGACGTCTTTCTTCATCGCCCAGACTCACTTGGAAAGGACCCTCGGGACACCGAGAGGTTTCAAAACAATTGCGGAAAGACCAAAAATGTGAAGCGCAGTACGGTGGCACAGAGGCTATATGTATCAGAGGATTAATGACTGCTATGTGTTCTTTATAGCCATTTATAACAACCATAAGTGGGCCCTTGTTGTGCCGTGCGATACTGGTGATATAACATATCTTGGTGGAAACTTATGTGGAATCCTATGTGTAATTCTATGTGGAAGGGAATTGCACACTGAGCCGAGTCACTTCAGGGTATTCAAATTCCTTGGCAAACTGCGGAAATGAAGTTGTTGGAAAACTACGCTGGAAAACCATGGAAAAGCATTGGTGGAAA